GCTCCGGCACCTGCGTTGTGGGCCGCGGAGTTCGGGGCGTGGTTGTACGCCGGGGTCGTCGGGTATGGCGTGCATCAACGGGACTTAGGAGGAGGACCACCAGAAGCCCCATCAGGCAGCAGAGCTTCAGGCTCTGGTCGACTGGATAGATCCTTTGAGCCGAGAACATGTCGTTGAGACTTCAAAATGTTGTAATTGATTGTGTGGCAGTGAAGTCCGACCGGGGCCTTATATATACCCCCGAAAAGAGCTGACGACCGACCACTCGAGTGAAGCCTTTTGGCACTAAAGATGAAAAATGTGCAAAGCTCTTCCCCCATCCCCGCTCCACAAAAAAAAATTAAAGGAGAAGAAAGGGGCAACATGGGTGGAGCCAAAGAATACACGTAATAAACTTCTCTTTCTCTCACCCGTCAAAGGCAATGATTTGGCAGTGCCTGAGGACCCTCCGCCGCCTCCGCCGCCTCCGTCCCCTAAGGCTGTTCCAACACCAAAAAAAAATGCCATCGGTCCAGCACACCCTCTTGCCACCCAAAATAAGAAGTCTTCTGTTTCTGTTTGTGGGGCGTCACGATGCCTTTGTGATTTTGACAGCATTTGGGATTGTCGAATCCTTCGGACCTGTTCCTGCTCCCTGCTCCCTCTGCCCTGCCTGCCCTGGCTTCTTTTCGGCCGAACAGCCTGTTTACTTCGTTTGTTTGTCGGACTGGACTGGACTGGACTGGACTGGACTGTTTGTTTGTTGCGCCGCCTGGCGGCATGGCAGGCGCGAAGTGTGTCAGGCCCAGATGCAGGGTCGCCCATCCAAGTCGCGTCGAGTCAGCCATCGACATGGTTCATTGACCAGCCGCGTCATCGTCACCGTCACCGGCATCGTTCCACACTGCTATCGACATGGCCCATCTTCATTGCCTTCTTCAGTCTCTCTGGCTTTGGTTTGGTTCTTTTCTGCTGTTGGTCTGTTGGTTTGTGTTGGTCATCGATTCGGGGATTGCAGCCGCGTAGGCGGTCAGCATCCTCTCCTCATTCCGACATTCCCCTAATTGTTTAACCCTCGAGTGGGGTGTGCGATAAATGCCAGACACACGTCAGACCTGACCAAAGGACTTCTCCATCTGCCATTCATATGCTGTGGAAAGTATTTATGGTTCTGTTTCTGATTTGACAGCAGCATGATTTCTCTATAAGAGAGAACAACGAGAACAGTGTGTCCCTCTTTTATCTATTGTTCCTTGAATGGACACTTCTAATTTGGGGAAAATACACGCCATCAATGAATAAGATATCATCCTTCACATAATAATTCCATTCCATTCTATTTCCGCATTGATTGATTGTTGATTGATGACTGTTTTCCTAATTCAACCTTTTGGGTTTCATTCGTTTTTATCACGTCTAATTTGATTTAAAAATCCATTGAAAAATGATCGATGGGTTGCTGCTTGAATCACGGATAAGTAGGTGTTCCAAATGAGTATTTTCCCGAATAGATTAGCATTTATATAATGTTAAATAGAACATTAAAGGGATTTATCGCAAAGAATTTTTTCATTTTTTTGCAATTGCCTAATATTTCTGCTTATTATGACATGATTGATAGCGTCAGGTGTAATTGATTATTAGTTTAATGACAAAAAATGAATGAATAATAAAAGCAAAAAAAAAACCATTAAAATAAAACAGGGAATTCATTAAGAAAATTCCTCAAACGTTTGATTGATTGATCAGCCCAAACAGCGCTGCCTTGATTGATCGCAGACTCGGTTTATTGTGGAACAATTCGACTGTCGCCGTCATTTGCGTGTGGGCGGCAAAAAGATCCCGCGTCGGCGCATCAGGGTTAAACAACTACAGTCGCGGGCCTCCGGCGGGGAGTCACTTAGGCAGATTAAATTCTCCAGTCCGTCAATTTGAGTGCGTAATTAATAAATGTACAAATTTATTCGGAAATACTTCGCATCTGTTCCATCTCCATCTGCATCTGGATCTCCTTCTTCCTCCATCTCGCCCTCTATTTGAGGTGCCGCTAACGGAGCGCAGATCCCCTCAGATTCTGATCTGCGATCTGATCGGGGTTTGCAACGCATTCATTTGCCTTTTAATGGCATTCGCTGGCATGCCATCGATTTAAGATACTTCTCATGTAAACGTGATTCCAAATGGGCGACGACTGCATTTTGGGAACGGGAACGGGAAGGGGAACGCGGAAGAGGGATGCGAAACAACAAACTAATAAATATTTTTACCCACATAAGTATAAAATATTGTTTAGATCCCAACCAAAAAATGGCAAACTCAGCTCTCGCTCCCAATTGTGTCTGTGTCTGTGCCTGTGTCTGTGTCTGTGTGTCCCCTACTCGTTCTCTCTCTCTCTTTATCTGTGTGTGTGTGTGTGCCCTGGGTCTCTCTGCGTGTGTTCACAATATTTCATTTCCCATTTCCCCAATAGCCAAACAACCCAAGCCCCAAACCGAACTGGGAACAGACCACAGTCCTCATTCGTGGGCCCATGGCCCACCCATCGTTGGCATTTTCAAGTGTCTAAGCCATGAATTTATATTGCTCGATTTCGATTTAAAAGTATTTCGGTTACATAATCTCAGCATTTTTATCACATTCCAGCACTGTTTGATGGCTCGAGGCAAACTTTTCTACTAGATCCGCCATTCGGACGGACCCTGGCACTTCATCCCTCCATCCCTTCATCCCGCATCCATCTTGTTGTGGTGTAAATTGCTCAATTATAGGCAAGTTTGTATCTGCGCCCATGTATCTCTGTATCTGACAGTATCTGTGCGTCTCTGTAGCTGTGTATCTGCGCATCTTTGTCCGTTCTGTGGCTCTGCGGCTCTCAAAGTTTGTTGAAAAGTTTCACTTTAAGTTGATTACTTCATGATTTTCAACTGGCCGAACAGCACTTTCTGCTGTCTCTGCGGAAAATTTGCACATTACTCAGTCGACAGCCAGAACTACGAGTAGCACGAGTTCGAGAGTACGAGAGTACGAGACTATGTGTCTCGGGAATAGTTCAAATCTCAGCCGGAATGTGGCACAACGAAGCTTCAAATGGGGCAGGGGCTAATGCCACGAACAAGCAGTCAACAGAGTCCGAGTGGCAATTTATAGCCGTGGTTTATGATATTTGAAGTCGGTGAAAGAACTCTACGACGGGGTATCTGATACATTAGCAGATGTATATCCATATCAATGGTAAATATTCGACATTTTCTAACCTACACTCAGAGAAAAGATGCATTTCAATATGAAATATATTTATTTAAAAAACCATATATATTTCGATCAAATATTTTCAATGACAATTTCCACTATCGATGCAAACACATAAATACATATATGTATTGGTAGGTATAAATGTTAAAATCTAAGTGTAATTATTCGAATCGCGGGGTAATCTCTGGGTAGCGTAAGAAAACAAATGCTCACTTTGTACTAGAATTCAAAAAAGAGGTAAAGGTAAGGAGATCATAGTATTCAATCTTATTGAAACTTTGAACATTTAAGTACCAAACCTTGCAGTCTAGTGTATTTCTCTCGTGCCAGCAACAGCAACATCAGCAGCGATCAATCGCTAAAAGTTCAAAAACGTGAGCCAAATGAACCTGTTTTCGGTGCTCTCCTCCCACTCGCTATGTGTATATATATCTATATGTATACTCGTACATATGTCTCAAGTTTTGGGCTATAAAGCCACGCGCAAGATATGCAAATAGACGAGACAATATGATGTACTACAATGAAATTTTGTATCTTTTTACTTTGCGAATGCAAAGAAGACGCGCCAAATGAGAACTTTTGCCTCTCCGCAGCTCCCTTCGTTGTCTCTGATTCGCAGATTCTCCAACCTTGTTTCGTTTCTCTGCTCTTTGTTGATTTAGGCAAATTCGTATTTAAGCAAGAGCCAAGTAAGTTTTAGCGGATGCGGGATGGTAGGACGTGGACTTGGGACAAACGGATGTGGATTGTGGGCAACCCCTTTTGCCGGCTCGGCCCAAACAATTTGCCCGAAATTTCACGTCCGTCTTGGGAGATTCGCGAAATCAACAAAAACAAGAACAATAACAACAAAACCCAAAAAACAAGTATGACAAAAGCGACTAATGGATACCCACTACTTGAAACACTATCCAAATCAGAAGAAAATATGATTTTCAAGACTAATTTCATTGGAAAACAACAGAGAATTGTTTCTTAATTCTGAACAAAAGAAATAAAATATTCAAAAATGTTGCATGCCACAGGGTGTATGCCCTGGGTACCCTGTGATTACTGGGTATTGAAGAAATACTGAAACACAGGAAGGAGAGAAGATAGAGGCAAAAGGCGCTTCATCAGCAACAACAATGACAGCTAACAAACAACCGTTAAGTGCCGCAACAAATCGCCAAAAATTGAAAACTGTGGGAATACCGCACCACGCCAGGGACGCCACAAAAGCCACACAAACAAACAAACAAACGAACACACACATTGCCACAAATCTCGTTTGCTGCCAAAAGAGAGAGAAAGAGTAGAAGGTGGGAAGGTACATACTCGTAGATGGCCGAGGTGGAGGTGGAGGTGGAGGTGGACGGAGAGAAAAATAAAAGACAATAAAAACAAATAAAAAGTATTTTGAAATGCCATTTGAATTAAACTTGAAACAGAGCTCAGAACACGACAAAAGAGAGACAGAGCCAGAGCCAGAGACAGAAACAAAAACTGAAAAGGAAACAGCAGCAAATGTGCGAAAGAGCGAACGACAGGAAGGAGCAGTAGAAACAGCGCCATCAAGGAAGTGATGACTGTACCTAGGGATGGATGGTGTGAGCACCGAAAACTCTCTTAAGCGAACATACCAAATGAGTAAAGGGAAAAAATCCAAATCCAGAATCCATCTCTTTTAAGTTAAAATCTTGTTTTATTTACATACGTGCACAAAAAAATATTGTATTTTATTTCCAGCACGATCAACGTGTGTGCTAATCGATTGTAATCCATGGCTATCGATGATTCTTGAAGCAATCAACCTTGGGCTGCTCGTCGCGACGGACACTCGGCGCCCGCCTTAGGTACTCCACTGAAATGTGAGTCCAGCATTAGTGCCAACATTAAACCATTTTGGTAGCCAATTTCACTCACCTGGCAGGGGCTGATAGCCATTTATGTCGGACCGATAGCAGCGCAGCTCGTAGCGCGTGTCATGGCCCAGGAGGCGCGGCTGCACGTAGAAGCCCTCAACCACTCGGCTATGCTGCTCCTCCGAGTAGAATCCGCGCTCCCAGCGACGCACGCCGTGTGGCAGGGAGTACCTGGGGCGACAAAGCGATTATCATTATACTAGAGGAAAAATCGTGGGCTGCATCCACAATTAATTGATTATCAATTAAACAAACTGAAGGAATCTTAAGACTGTGTTGGTCCTTGTGTATGGATGATTTGTGGTTTCCATGTGGGCATCCATTAATCAAATTAGGAGAAACTTTGGGTGTTTCGTGTTTCACCAGCGAGTCATGGATACAAATTCAAGCCTCTAAAGAGCACCCCCATCTCTATTGGTCTCACCCAAAGATGTAACTGCCATCTTCGTTGAGGTCGTAGAAATTATCACGCCACGGATTGTAGTCCTCTACGCCCCCATCGTTATCCTCCTCTTCCTCTGCCTCTGCCTCTGGCTGAGGTTGCGGCTGCAGCGGAGGTGGTGCCCCAACTGGCCCCGAATCCGGCTCCTCTTCACTGGAAGAGCTTTCATCCGCCTCCTGGGACTCCTCTTCCTCGCCGGAATCCGAGTCGTCGGATGAAAACTGAGCCCTGGCCTGTGCCCCCGAGGTGGGTGCCACAATGCCCGGCCTGCGCTGGCTAAGCTGTGAGAAGGGTGTCGTGGCCAATGGGGCAAAGGCGTTGGCCAGCTGTTCTCCCAGCAGCTGCTTTATCCGTCCCCTCATTTCGCCGCTCTCGTTGCCGTTGTTGTTGGCGGCATCCTCGAACCGCTCGAAGCTCTCGCCATCAAAGTTGGGCGTTTGCAGCTGTACAGGCGGGACCCGGACCGGTGCTCTCTGGCTTAGGGCTGCGCCCAGGAAGAGGAGCAGCAGCACTGGAGGCAGCAAATGGGTCCGCGGGGGATGGATCTGACCTGATGCCATGTTGGGTGTTGACTGCTGTCCCACATCGATGCCCGGTTTACTTTTATATGAACGGATCCGATCGGGGGCTATTCACACGGGCTGCCGCTGCCGCTGCCACAAATCAGCGTATCAGCCGAGTGCATAAATTTATGGCCAACAAAGAGCGATGCGATGCGTGCTACAAATTTGCATTTTGCAGCGAGTGACTCTCCGCAGAGCTACAGAGCCGCAGAGATATCTGTCAGCGCCGAGGAAGACCGGCTCCAAATCAAGAATTATGTGAATTCGATTCGAGCTTCGATTGTGACGCCTTCGGGCCTGTCGACCAAATCGGGCTGTGTTTCCCACCTAATTGGGTCAGTCGAACAAGCGCCACGCTTCCGCTTCTCTGAGCTCCGCTCTCGAATGCGAGGCCTGCAATGCATTGCATACTTTCGGGCTGTGCAGATCTGCCCCAGCCGCTGGCCAGGGGAGGCACACTTTCAGGCGGACCCACACTACCCCTCCCTCCCAAAGAGATAATATTATATAATCCCAACGCCATTGTTCACATATCCACAGATGAAGTTTTATTCGATCGCATTTCGATTTATTTTACACACTCAAACACATAGATACTCGTACTTGTAGTCACGCACACACACGCCATATCCCCATATCCACCATATCCACCATATCCGTTTTAATCTATGTATGTACGCTCTTCCATTTCGCTCTTGTTTTGTTTTTCTTTTACTATTTATTTTAATGTTCTTATGTGTATAACTTTTTTTGTCGCTCGACAATTTACAATTACAATTCTGCAGTCGTTTAAACAAAACCAGACAAAAAAAACCATACAAGTTTGCAATATTCCTCTTTTGTTCTCTGTAGTTTTTCCTTTGATACTTTTAGTATTTATGTGTATATATTTATTTATAAAAAAAAAAATATCATACATTTACTTAATCTACGCAATGCTGACTTATAGTACAAATAGTTTTTTTTACTTTTCCTTTTCCTTTCTTTTTTCCATTTTTTTTTCCTTTTCTTTTTTGGTAGTTTTTTGCTTCTCTTATTTTCAACATTTCTTTAGTAAAATCGCTAGATTCCCTTCTTAAATTGTAGCTAGAAAAGGAGTTCAATGGTTCTCAGGGTTATAACAAAACAAATACAAAAATCATTTAACAATTACAAGAGCTCATACAATTATGCATATAAAAAGCTTAACAAAAAAAGATATGACTGAATACTACGTTATCCTTCAGTTGTATGTGTGTATATGTATGTGTCGGAGCAACAGGGAAAACCTATGACGTCTTTGGCCCCGAATTATGGCTAATGAATGAATCTGATGGTACAAGTTTGTTTCTTTCTGACACCACACAAAAGATGAAGATACATTTTTGGGCTGGTCATTTGGCAAAGTTTTCCGAGACTTTTTTGGCATTTTCATGAATGAATTTTGCAGTGGCTTTCAGCTGGTTCCCTGCTCAGGTAGATAAAGGTCCGGTCTAAGACAGTTTCACCTCTCCTCTTCCCACTCATTCCCTGGTGTGCTTTAATCAATCTAATGATTTGAACTTTCGCAAAGAGAAAGGAAATTGCAACGCTGCACCATCGGCACCGTCATCACAATCACAATCACCATCCAGCATCCAGCATCAGCATCCTCATCATCATCATCATGAGCCATCCGTCGCTGTTCCACCTCCTCGACATGGCACGTAGCTGTCGCTGCTCTTTAAATTCAATCAATCAAATGGATTTCCCACCTCCCAGGTCCCCGCCCACTCATTGTCATTGTCATCTTTATTTTTTGCCCAACTCCCAACTCCCGCCGCCCCATTCTGTGTTTTTGGCCCTATGCATCCTCCCATCCGCACAGCTGTGACAATATTTACACCATCGAAACCACTCAACCCATGGGGCTCATCCCGCACTTAGACCCCACTGCCCTAAGTCCCCAACACCAGCCCCACCGTCAACCTATTTACGGGGAACATGCTAATTGTGGAATGACAGATTCGAGGGCCCCCCGTCATGTCCACGGAATTGACACAACCAGCACAGGTGGTACGGGTGGCACGGGGCGCACGGGGGTTACGGGGGGTACGGGGGAGGAAAAAGAAAATTCTCCGGGACACACATCAAGTTGGCAAATCTGTGGCCGGCTAATTTATCTAATTGAAAAGGATTTGGATGCCAGATGAGGTAACAGATTGCTGCATGGTTGCCTTAAAGGTGACTCCAGTCCCAACCCCAACCTCCAACCTCTGAAACCACAAATGTGGTTGGCTTTGATGTACTCTTTGCAGGAGAGGACACAAATTAATTTCATAAAATCATTTAGCGTGGCAAGGGACAGGGGGTAAACTAAAAGCGAGGGAGAGAGAAAGCGAAGGGGACGTTTCAAAATCACTTAAAAAACTATCTGCACGCAAATTGCTTCGCTGCTCATGTCAGGAGTTGCAGTCACAGTCCGAGTCCGAGCCTGAGGACCGGGAAAGGGACAAGGACCAGAACCAGAACCAGAACGAGGACCGGTGGCAGAACCATAACCAGACCGAGACCGAGACCGAGACACTGGCAGAAACAGAGACAGAGACACCGACTGAGAGAGCACGTGCCTGTGATGGATGGACTCTCTGGTCGCGACATCCTCCTCGTGGAAACGGACCACGTACGTAATGCATGTAAATGAAGAAGTTTCTGTTCTGTTCCTGGCGGAGTTGCAAAAGGCGGAGGGACCCAGGACCAGGTCCACGGACATGTCGCAAACGGTTCAGAGGCGGAGTCCGATAACAATATTCCGGGACATGTTCCTCATACGCCACGTTGTCTGTTTAGTGTCTGCTCTCTTCCCAGTGCCATTCAGCGTCATTCATTCGCCCACTCATCACCCACCTAGCTCTGTGCTGGGGATGCTTCCTCATTGTTTTCCACAGAAAACTTCCGTCCGTCTTCTGCCTAGGCCGGACCATGTCCAGCCATGTTGCCTTCGATTGCGGTCCGCCGGCAACAACGAGAACAGCTCTAGCCCGAAATTCAATTGCAAAGGGGCTGGGCCTGGCCAACGGACTAACACATCTTCCATTTGTCGTCCAGCTAGCTCGCAATCACCGCCCGCGCCTGCACTGTCCTTCCACTTTCCCTTCCCTATCTTCTTCTCATTGGGGCCATTGACATTTGTGGCTTGCTTGTGCAGTTGTGCCCTAAGCCTGTACAGATCTTAAATGACTATTCAATTCGTAACTCAATTTTAGACGAATTCAGTGAAGGATCCTGATTAATTCGTAATCCCCGAAGGCGTGACATTTTTCAACCCTGTTGTTTAAACCGGTGCTCAAATTATTACACCGATTATTATGGATGGGTTTCAAAAATTCGAACTTATATTAGGCCGATTCTGAACCGTTGAAAATCCAATTAAAAGTGAAACTAAGGTCTTAGATTAATATCAGATTAAAAACCATTATACAATCGACTAGTAACCAATAACCTATCAAGATACTTCTCTTAACTTATTCGCAACTAATTCTTATATCGATTCCAAACCATTGACGAAACAATTCTTGTGACCATGACCGATGTCCTTTCGACATAAAAAACAAATAAATTACATTTCTTAATAATACAAATTTCACGTGGTTCCGGTTTATAACCACACCAGTTCCAAATTGAATTAAAATTTTGAAGCAGTCCTGGAGCATCCATCCAAGAACTGACTTAAAGAACCCATTCACCTGACTTTAAAGACAGAGAGACGAGAAAATGAACGGAAAAATAAAGTGCCACAGCATGCAAACAGGATGTGTGCAGGAGGTGGCGCAGAAAGAGGAGGAGGCACAGGACCAGGACCTGCCCCCGGCTGATTGCGAGTTGCCGCCTTCATGTCCGTGTTGTGTCATCAGCGTCGCTGCGGTTAATATGTTGGCCAATGTCCAGTTGCTGCTCCTCTCCCCGTGGTTCCTCTTGTTGATCCTGTTGGTCGTTGTTGCAGTTGCAGTTGCTGTTGCTGTTGCTGTTGCAGTCTCTCTTACTGCTGGTGTTGTTCTTGTTGATTGGCGGGCAATCCTTAAATGTCAATGGGACGTCATGATAATCACGTCTGGCGCTGAATTCCGTATGTCGATGAATACTTTGGACTCCTCGTTCTTTTGCTGCTGCTGCTGCTGCTGCTTGCCGGGCAGGATCGTTGTCTGACCCGGCCCCAGACCCATTCCCTGGCCATGTCCCAGTCCCAGTCCCTGGCCCTGGCCCTGGCCCTGCCCATGTCCCTTCTGAAGGCCCATGGCTGGGATTCGCGCTGCAATGCTTGGTGGATGCTGATGGGCAGGATGTGCATGATGCATGCGCTGTTGCTGTTGCTGTTGCTGTTGATGTTGCTGTTGCTGCTGGAGTTGTGGATGATGTTGTTGTTGCTGCTGGTGCTGCTGGTGCTGGTGGTGGTGGTGACAGATCTCCTGTGGCTGCTTGGCTGTTGAGGTCACCATAAGACCGCCGTAATGCGAACGGCCGCTATGTCGCTCCTCCAGCTCTAGCGACTCGGGATGCATTTGCTGCTGCATCTGCTGCTGTTGCTGTTGCTGATGCTGCATGCTGCGTCGTGTCAGTGTCCCCACCACCGGCGGTGGCGGAGTGGACTGCGGCAGCGATGGTGATCCTTGGCCGTGGGGCGCCGGCTCGTAGCCGAAAGTGGAGAAGAACCGTGGTGGAGGCGGCGGCATCATACCGCCCGCAACGCTGCCACCACCCAGCGAGGACGAGCTGGACTTTTGTCTCATTAGCGTGGCAATGCCGATGCCCCCGCCGCCGCCGCCGCCGCCGCCGCCGCCTCCAACACCAAAGCCAACACCAGAACCCGCCCCGGGTCCGATTCCGGGGCTGTTGACGAACAGTGATTCCCTGTGGAGAACGGATAAGAGAGATAGAGTAAAACAGTTTAATATTTGCGTGTTCGGGGATGGTAGGGAATAGGTAAACGCCTATGGGCGTGTGTCAATCAAAGGAAGTGTGTCCGTCATCTGTGTGGGAGGGAGGGTGGTAGGCAGGGCATATGGTCTGCAAACACGTTCCAGACACGCTCCGATATGGCAGCCATGGAGCCACGCGCTAGATCTGACCTATGACCCCAAACTGAGAAAGGTGTCACTGTTCGGGAATCATAAATAATACCCTTCTAAAGATAAAAATATCTTAATTTGTTCAATGGCTGCCAAAAGATATGGTTAAGAATTCATAGCTCTCAAAACAATAGCTTACACCGATCTGGCTATTAAATATTACATTAAGTATATATCCCTGTCAGGATTCCCTGATTAACTGAAAAGAAATGACACACTGTCACCGATATCCAGTAAGCACTTCATTCGTTTTATACGCGCTGTACGTTTCAGGGATCAATTTCCATCAAATACAATAGATTTATTTCTGTGACAGTTCCCAAACTGCGATTCCTGGCAGGGCGAACACTTCACTCCGTGAAACGATACGAGTATCTCTGTCCAGGGCCAGCGCCATGCATCATCTTCATCGCGGGGCACGTCGGCATTGTGTCACTCTGTTCCGATTGTCATTCACTCCGCTTACATGTGACTGTGTCGGCTTCCCAACTCCCCTCCCCACACCATTCCATTCCACTACGTTCTAGAGCGTGACCCCCTTCTTCCCGGGGAGAACGAGAACCTGTCTCCATATCCAATAAAGACGCATGCAAATACAAATATTTGCATCGATTTGTGTTGTACAAGAGACAGGCGTCTGCTCGGTCGAGCGCTATCCTGTGCCCGGACTCTGACTCTGGTGTATTTCGATTCTTTCCCACTCCAAATCCTATTGGCAACCCCTGGCCTCAAATAGAGTGGGAGCCAGAGCCAGAGCCAAAGCCAAAGCCAAAGCCAGAGCCAGGGAGCCAGCCACAGCCACAGCCAGATCGAGCTCGACATTGTCATTGTTTTTAGTGTTTGCCCAGCGTTGACTTTGCAATTTGCTGGCATCTATTTGACTACACATATGCTGATGATGACCAGGAACGTGGCAGACTCCTCCATTGAATGCATGCGAGCAGGAGTATTAGTACGAGGACGCCCGTGTCCTGTGCCCCTTCGTCCCTGTCCCAGGCACTCACCTCGTTTGACAGCCCATATCGCAGGCATTAACTGGTGCCGCCGACATGGCCGCCTTTGTCATCATCTCGTGCGTGTGCGTGGCCGTTGTGGTCGAGCTCGACTCACCATCATCGCCAATGCCAACCCCAACCCCCACCCCAACCCCAATGCCGCATAGACTCGTTTGGGTCATGTCCGGGTGGCGTCGCAGAATGCTGTGCTCCTTCTCCTTGAAATCGGCTTTGCTCGACTGTGTCGATATGGGCACTGCCTCTCGATAGTAGCGGTTCGAGACATCATCCAGTATTTGCAGTGAGGTCTGCGAATGCTTTTGCCTGTCGCCCGAGTGAGGAGAGATGGAAAGAGAAGAAATTAAACAAATTATGGTTGCTGTTGCTTTTTCTGTTCATTTTGCTGCTTAAAGGGTACAAATATTTGCGAAAATTATAGGTGAAGTTGGGGGGCCCTTTGTATGACTTTGGCAAAAGTTGACAGTTTTGCGGGTCTCCAAGATCGAGTGTACTTTCATATTTTCTAGTCGCCGAAAGTAACAGCGAGGAACTTGGTCTCCTTTGATGTTAATAAAATGTTAAGTAAGCTAAGTAATGTTGAAGTGCGAGCAATTTTCTGTTATTTTTACTGAAAGATACAGCTAAATAATACCCATCGATTTGCTATATTTTAAACGGACAAACACAATGAAATTTGCATTCCCTTAAGCACTAGTCTGTATTTAAGAGTAATGGATTGTCCTTGTCGTATCAGTCAGTCACAGCTGCAGTCCATCACATCTGGGTTATTATCAAACAATCATGGGCCCTTCAACGTCAAGTGATTACCAGCTGTCGTCTGCCTCATTAGCGCACATTGCGTATACGCGATGGTGGGCTGGGGAGAGACTGCTTTCTCACTTTGAGCTTTAATGAATCTGAATGGGATTCAGAATCGGAATCAGAATCGGAACCGGAATCAGCTGATGCCTTACCTTGATATGTTCTCGCGCGAACGCGCCTTTGAATTGCGACCCATCTCGTCCAGTTTGCTCTCCTTCGACTCCCGGATGTGTTCCTGAGGGGCAAGATCCAATGGATTTATACAGAAGCGAAACGAGAGAGAGGGAGAAAGAGAGAGAGAGAGAGAGAAAGAGAGGGAAATAATGGTAGCCAATATAATAAGCATAACAATAAATATTTGTAATTAATTTGGCAAAGGGATGAGGCCGTAATGGGGACGAGGACGCTGGATGGGGCCAGGGCCAGGGCCGGGGCCAGGACAAGGACAAGGACTGGTTTCAGCTGCCTGGTCAAAGCTCCGATTCAATAAATGAGTGTATCTGCAGTGCGCGTACCATAATTTCCCTTAAAGCCCTCTGGAACTGGCACCCGGTTACCCGACACCCGGCACCAGGCAGCACCCCCATGGTGCCTGCCTATAGTGGATTATAAGGAGTTGGAGGCGGGCTGGGTGGGTGGTACTGCTGCGGGGTCTTGCAGAGCAATTAAGCCAGTTGCCACCTGATGCCGGCAGTTCTCTCTGCGGCGTGCGCTCAGAGTCTTTCGCTTTCTCTCCTTTGCAGTCATTAATATGTCGATTGTGTGTGTGAGAGCCGGAGGGTGGGGGAATGCAGGGTGCAGAGAGGAAAAATCTGGCCAAAAGGGAAGGTCAAGGGATCGGGGAGGGAGGCTTGGTAGCCGGTGCAGCGGGAGCACTTGATAGCCTGCATAAAAGGAGGCATTAATACGTAAATACATCATAATGAAGGACGAGCTCCGTTCAGGCAGAACAGCGCTGATCCAAGATAACCACCCTCCCACCCCACCCAATGGGTACCGGCAGTACCCTGTACCCCTACCTTAAACCACCTCAAATTGCATTCATAATGAAATATAAGCCAACGTTTGCTGCACCTTTCTTGCCTTTGCCCAGATCTTCCATCTTTTTTTTGCCAATTACTTTCTGTTTCCCCGTTTCTCTTGCTTTTCTCTGTTTATTGTAGAATATTTTCTTCATTCAGTCATTCAATCGGCCAGTCAATACCCGGCAAGCCAACATTTGACAGCGCCAAACGAAAATAATGGGAAAAATGGAGAACTTTTCAATGGAAATCGCGAAGGAAATCGAACCGAATAAATATTGTTAGCTCTTTATTCACTCTCTTGAACCCTCCACCGCGGGGAGGGTCTCTGGTTTCCAGCATGATTTTGACCAGGGCCCAAATGTAATTGGTTTCAACTTCAATCTACAATCTATTGATACATTTATATATATTCATATTTTTTTCATTTATGCGTATAGCTTTTGTGCAATATTGGTTTTGGCAGCAATTTGTTCGGCTAAAACGGTTAACTATTCACTTTGATTCGTTTTGAATACTCGATTGTCTGATGGAACGAATTTTAAAGGTGAACAGAATATTAAAATTTCATAATCCCTACGATTTCATTGGACCAGCAATTGTCACTGGACTTTCTCGGATGTGATTAAAAACAATTGTATAAAAATATTTTGGTATCTACGATAAGTAAGTACTAATTCAGTTATCCATAATTCAATCATCTGTGACGAGGTTCTGCACTTAAATTCAGCTTTTCGAATTGATAACAATGGGGAATTCAGTTGGAATGTGAAACGCATTTCAATTGTTTTCACATTCTGTTTACAGTCAGAACTAAATTAAGAAATCAGTACAAAAAACGCTTACAAATGTTCTAGTACATATTTATGATTATATTTTGTTTTTTGTTATTTATTATAACTCGGAAATCAATCGTCTGCGATGCATTTTTATCTAAAATGCATATGCGTATATTGTTTGTATTTGTAAAATATATTTATTTCAGAACTCTGATCTAATAGTGTAGTAATCGGTAGGCAATGTGGCCTTGAACATTCCCAAACAACATGATTTTTGGGGCTTGCGCTAGTACTAACGTAACTAGTTATTCTTTAGTCGTAATTAAAAGCTTAAATAATGAGCAGGAATTGTCCATGCACAGATGTAATGCACCCTTGCCTACCAAGAATATCAAAGGGGGAATGTGGTTAGATTTTATTCTGAATTTTGATTTGCGGTGAGCTCAGCACGAATCCAGGAGGGACACAAAACTGGGGACGGGGGGACTGACGAATGTGGTTTCATTTCAGGGTACGGATTTGTTTGGGACTTTTTTCAGCCTGATTTGAATGATGCAGATTCTCAGATGCAGTTCCAGATACAGAATCCGAAACAGAAACAGATACTCGTACTGTACAGAATTCAGCAGGGGACGTGAGGAGGACAAGGAGCAGAGCGAATAATTTGCAGTGTTTTTTTGTCTTTAGATGATTTTGTGAAGGAATTTGAGGGGATTTGTGCTCGACTTGGGCTTGGCCAGCACTGGCGGCGGTGGCGGCGTCAGGTCCGGCAGTATGATGTCCAGCTCCATCGAACTGGCGGTGGCCGTGCCACTCGCCGTGCCGCTGCTGCACTGCATCGAGCTGCTGCCGGATGGACTCGAGTTGCCAGTCGTTGCCAGGCAAGCGCCCGTGACGAGCACGAACTCGTCATCGTCGGGCATGGTGAGGCTGTCGCTGTCGCAGCTGAAGCCGATGCCATCGTCGTACTCCTGATCCTCATCCTCATCCTCATCCTGATCCTCTTCATGCTCCTGTTCATCCTCTAGACCATTGTCAGCCTCTCTGCCACGGCACTGGTAGTCACTGTCGTAGCTGCAGTCGTACACATCGCAGGTTTGCGGCTGTTCCTCCATCTTGGGAGTGTTGGAATCGCTATTTGAATCAAAGTCGGAGTGTGGGCTTCCGCCTGCAGCTCCTCCTGCATTCCTTGGCTCATTCATGGATTGATTGGCATCGCTGTGGGCTGGCAATTGCTCTTCCAGATTGTAGGCGTAATCGCACATGAAATCGTTTTGTAATCCCACGAATATGGCGCTCTTGGGAGCTTCCAGAATAAAGGAGTCAATGTGATAGATGCGATTGCTTAGGCCTGGCACATCCTGTGGATGAAGCACAAGAAAGAGAACACAGACAGAAGAGAGAGAGAAAGAGAGAAAGGTAGATAGAGAGGAAGAGAGAGAGAGAGAAAGAGGAAGATATATAGACAGAGAGAGAGAGAGAGAAAGAGAGAAAGAATATCTATCACCGATTTAGCCAAGAGTGAAGGAGAGAAGAGAAATTCTAGCGCAACTCTAGAGCGAGACGAAACTACGTATGCAAGTGTCTTTGGTGGGTGTGTATGTGTGTGTGTGTGTGTGAGAGAGAGAGAGAGAGAGCTAGAGGATAGGCGAAAGTGCATTCTGCATGCATAATGATGGTGGCAACTCTGTCAGCTACTTAAAAGCACAACAACGACAACGACATGACCAACAACCAAAATGTAAGAAATCCGAATTCTCCGAAATAAAAACTGTTGAATGTTTCGAGGATTTTACAGAAATACTCCCAAGCAAAGGTAAAAAGTTTATCAAAATTTATTTAAAGTTTTGATGCACAATTTTCCACTCTTAAAAATTTAGAAAAATATGCAGTAACTAAATATCAGAAATAATTTAAGCTCCGTATCGACTCAATTGATAACTTTAAGCCACTCTAAGAGCCTGAATTTCTCTATTGCAGCGCCCCTGCATTTGTCAGAGTAATCCGTAGAATACAGCCAACTCCGAGCAATAATCATCATAATCGAATCGTAAAAAGAATATTGCCATATAATGCCGAGAATATGGCAACGACGCACCCTCGAAGCTAATCTGATTTGGCATTTGAATCGGCCCCCTCGAACTGGGATCGAAGACCGGGGACCGGAGGCGGGGCGATTTGATTGCCCATCCTCCGGTTTGTCTTCGGTTGGAGAGTGCCTGCAGCTGTTGCAGCCTCCCCCCATACACCCACAACTCCAACAAAAGTCAACGATAATTTAATCATTCTTCCTCTATCTCCGTAGTCCCATTCCCATCTCCCATCTTCCGTCTCCATATTCCCACATTTATCTTGATGGGACCGAACCAGAGCCAAACGAGTGAGATGCGAGTGGACACAAAGCCTCAAGGCTAAGTCGGTGAAAGGATTCAATCAGAATGACGAGTGGGTGGGAGCTGAGGAGGGTCTGGCTGAGAGGAAGAAATACATACATATATTCACTCCTCTCAGTGTGGAGTATTTGCCACTTGAAATTTATTTTTGCCACTGCAACACTTGTCGTATGAGTGATATGCAAATGAAAATCCAATTCAAATGAAATTAAACTCAATTTGTAAGAGTTTTGCCATAATTAATAGATATCATTGTTGCAGATTGCAGCTGGTAACTGAAACCCTCTGTCAAAAAGGCAGACACTGGGAAATAGATGCAAACCGAGACGGGGAAATCTCTTTCCCGACAGAGCGACAGAGCGACAGAGCAACCAGAAATAGAGGCAGAGGCAGGGTAAGAGTTGGAGAAAGAGCCGGAGACAGCGACGTGACAAGTCGAGCCTTGTGGGCATACTGATGACGGTCATCAAGAGAGTTGTTCTGCCTCTGTCTGGTCTCGGCCTGGTTCTCACATCCCCCTCCCCACTGCCCCTGCCCCTAAATGGGTTTGGTTGGGCCTGTTTAGCGGCCTGTTTTCTCTGGCCTACATTCCATTGCCTCGTGTCCGGTCATCTAATGGCCAAGCACACACTTGCTCAGAGCTGCCAACCGAAATATCGTATGGAATATCATATATTATATCCTTACAAGATTTAAGCTTTTAATATCGATTTAAGCTTGGATTAAAGCACGGACTTCTGAAACTTATAATACAAAATGAGCTCAAATATGTATATAGAAGACAATTTTGACGATGAAATATTTTATAATAAACATATTTTTGCAAAATACTTTGAAATATTACTTAGAAAATCAACAATTTTGATACTCCTATCAAGTGTCTATTTGAATATACCATCTCCATATCCAATGACCAAATTGGGATAGCTTTTGCCATTCCTAGGGGTGAAACATCATAGAGATAAATATACCCATGCTGGCTGCCCCATCCAACCGATGATTTCGATAGAATTATAAACATATGTACGAGTATGTGTGGCA